CCTGAAGCTTGTAGAAAAACAGTAAGTCAAGTCAAAAGTTCCTATGAGGGATAAAATTATAAAGACCAGAGCAGAAGCTAATACAATTAACAACAAATAATACAAAGAATCAATGAGTCAAAGAGTTAATTCTTTGAAAGGTTAAACAAAATTGACAAATCCTTAGCCAGCCATATAAAAAAAATAAAGGACAGACAAAACTGAGATCCATGCCTTGGAGAACTGGAAGTATAAAATCATAAGAAATCCTGCAGAAATCTAGAATATCATTAATACCTACCTCAAAAAACCTGTACTCTAATAATATGAAAAGTACAGAAAAGGAAAGGTTCATAAATGTATATATGAATTATGAAAACTGAAGCAAGAAGTTACAAAGCTTCTAACTAACCCAATACCATAAGTCAAAGAAATTGAAGTTATAATGAAAAATCTACAAATAAAGAAGAGCCCAGATCATGACAGATTCACTGTTGAATTCTATAAGAAATTTAGAGAAGATCTAATGCCACTATTCATGAAACTCTTTTTTGAAATTGGAAAGGGAGCAATACTCTCAAATTCATTCCTGGAAGGAAGCATTACCCTGATGCCAAATTCAGACTAGGATCCAGTTAAAAAAGAGAGCTACAGGCCCTAATGAACATAGATGCAGAAATCCTCAATAAGATACTGGCTAACAGAATGCAGCAAATCATTAAGAAAATTAAACATCATAAACAAGTAGGATTTATCCCAGAGACATACGGAAGGTTCAACATACGCAAACCAATAAATGTAACAGATGATAGTAACAGAGCCATGGTAAAAAAAATAAGTGAGTGTGTCCATAGGTACACAAAAAGGGATTTATAATAGCATCCCCAAAAAAGAAATATCTAGGAATCAGTCTAACAAAGGAAGTAAAACACACTTACATAGAAAAATATAGTACTCTGAAAAGGAGATCAAAAAGGTATCAAAAGTAGAAAGATATCCCTTGCTCTTGGGTAGGAAGAACCAGTATAGTGAAAATGGCCATACGTCCAAAATTGTTACAAAGATTTAATGCAATCCCAATCAAAATACCATTAGTATACCTTACAGAATTAAAGAAAACAATACTAACATTCATTTGGAACCAGAAGAGACCTAGCAGAGGTTTTTCTGAGCAGTAAAGGCAAGGCAGGGAACATCACAGTACTGTCTAAATTATACTACAAAGCTCTTGTGATATAAACAGCGTGATACTTGCAAAGAAACAGACTTGAGGACCAGTGGGACAGATTGGAAAATGCAGATACAACTCCAAACACATCTGCATTTTCTTTGACAAGCCAAACACCTTCACTGGAAAAAAGATAGCCTCGTCAATAACTTTTGGAAAAACTGGCTTTGCACAAGCCAAAGACTAAAATTAGACCCATGTTTCACCATGCACTAAGCTAAACTCACAATGGATCAAAAATCTAAATATTAAAAACACTAACGCTGCTGGAAGAAGGGATTGATAGAACTCTTGAAGACAATAGGCATAGGCAAAGATTTTATGAGCAGAACACCAATCTTACAGGAAATCTTAGAAAAAATTAACAACTGGGATCTCATCTTTTAAAGCTTTTACACAAGAAAAGTCACCGGTAGTGAAGAGACAGCCCATAGAGAGGGAAAAGAATTTGCCAGGTATCCCTCAGACAAACAACTAATATCTAAACTATATAAAGAACTCCAAAAAATCAGACCCTCTCCCCAACATTTAAAGACACAGTCCATAAAAGGGCATCTGAAATGAATAGACATTTCACAGATGAATGAGTAAAAAGAGCAAATGTAAGAAAATGTTCAACACCACTAGTATTCAAGGGATGCAAATAAAACAATCCGGAGATTTCCATCTCACTCCAGAAAGAATAGCTATTATCAAGAAATTAACCTATAACAAATGCTAGTGGGGCTGTGGGGGAACGTTTGAAAGACAAAACATTGTAAAGGTCAAGTAGTAACACAGTGGAAGTTGGTGGCATTAGCATGAGAATACTTTGTATATCATTTTTTCTATAGTTTTGACTTGGATTCAAAGATTATTCAAAAAATACTGTTGAGTGTGCTCAGGAGGGAAGTAAGATTTTGTTCTTTTTAGACAATAACTGATTTTAAGTACAGCAGATATCCCTCAGGGCTTCATAATTATTGTTACTTTACTTTGAATGGTCATAGTCTATTTTGATGACTTTAAATTCAGTGTAAATCCAGTGGGTCTTTTATTGTTGCTGTAAGACTTACTACATTGTATTCCATGACATTTTTGTATTTGAAAAAAATGGTGATTATAGCCACATACTCGGTAACTTTTTTTTTGCTTCAACAGTGTGAAATAGATTGGTTCAGTGTCCTAAATTATATAATAACCAAATACATATATTTAAATACAAAAGTCAAATAAAGCATTATACTTGACCCAAATAAAAGTTCTCTCTTACAACTCCTAATTACTTCATGTGAAAATTTTAGACATCCAGTAAAACTCCCTAGATTAAAAATCTCCGAAATTACCTCTGAAAATAAAAATGTTCCTATATTAAACTTTATATGTAAATTTACTTCAATTTTAAACTTGAGGATGCATCTATTTTCACCTAAGAGAACTCAAAACATGTTCATAAACCAATTTTCTATTATAAAGCTCAAGCAGTCTTTTGAGATCTGTGTAATTGGATTTTTTTTTAGCTTCAAGTGATAGCTCAGCTTCATAGATTGTTAGAGATATATTGGAATAAAATCATTTTTCAAAAATGAGCTTATATTTTTCCATGAGAATTTCTATTTGTTTCTGTTCAAATCTCAGGAGCATTACTAGTTTAATTCTATTTTAAATTTAAAAAGTTTGAAGTTTTATTTTTTGGACTATAAACATAGTCAAGCCTCAACCCCAAGGAAAGACAAAAGATATGAATTCATATGGAAGACCTACTGTTCTTTCACCAAAAACTAAGACTAAAAAAGCAAGTTTCTATGTGTTTTCTGCAAAGTATTTGTGTTCTAGTTCACATTTTCCGTATGAATGTAGCACTTGTTTGTGTGTGCACAGAGATATTTTCAATCCTGCTCCCCTCCTTTGTGGGTCCAAGGCTTTATCTCTTATCCCTGAGACTGACCCTCCAAATTCCAACCTTTAGATCACCTAGAGAGTTGTAGATTTTTACAGGGCATAGTGTTTAATGTTGGTTTATATCTTTAGGTTCATATTCCCTCACTTTAGATTCATGTTTCCTTATGGTAAGCAAAGCCATATTGGAGGTTATTATTAACATTTTAAATAAGAGAAGGTTAGGCTCTTTAATTTATCATATTATTGGAAATTGAATTTTTACCCCTTAAGAAAGGCCCCCCTTAAATCTTACATTCAGTCCAGATAGCCAGATTTAACACTAGCTCCCTTGGACCGAAGCATTTAGGAGAGCAATCTTCAGTAGACATAGATCTTCTCACTGATAGTATTTCAGCAATCAAGTTCACTGAATTCAATCTGTTACTTGTTTTTTGAGCATCAGCTTACTCAAGGTACTGTGTCGGCATGAACACTCTTGAGGGAATTTAGTTTATTGTGGTTCTGCATGCTTTTCTACGCACAGTTGAGATACACTAAAACATGAATGCAGTACTGGTAAGAGCTCACATAGGAAGGTTCAGTGCATGGCTGGGGGATGCAGTGGATAATAGGACTTTATTAGGCCTCTGTGGATTTTGAAGTTGGAATACAGAATTCTTAGATTAAAAAAGTATTTGATAGGTGCAGCAGTAACTAAGAAAAATCAAAATTGGCCAGTATTCTATATAAAACAGTAAACATACTTGCGGTCTTATTACCAGTTTAGTTTGTTATGTTGAGTGGCAATCAGATAGAACTACTCACCTTTATCATACTTTCTCTGGAGTTCTTAGTTCTTCCTTGATTTTTTGAGAGTATTTGCACAAATCACCACTGGTCACTTACCACATGATGTTACTAAAATACCCTTGTTTAAGATTTTTTTTTCTAAACTAATTTGCCCACTGTATAATAAAGTCTTTTATTTATATGCCTCTTTGTGTGAGTAGGTGCATATATGTGTGTGTGCGTATACATATATATAATCACATTTGAACTATAGATGACCTGTGAGACAAATGTATTTAACAGGGGCTGGGGATTTAGCTCAGCAGCATAAGCACCTGCCTTGCAAGTGTGTGGTCATGAGTTTGATCCCCGGTACCGATAAAAAAGAAAAGAAAAAAATGTATTTGACAAACAAATAAGCTGAGGATTATGAAAACTAATTGAATTTGCCCAAATTTTACAGATAGTAAGTAGAACACCAAGATTTACATCAGATTTAATGTTCACACCATTCTTTTGTCAACTGTGCTGCAGTTTTAATGTCTCAAATTGTTTTTAGTTCATAGCAGACACTCAGAAAATATTTACTGAATGAAAGAGTAAAACTTTAAATGTTACTTAATAGAAATTTATGAATTTAGAGTGATCCTGAAATGTTTATGCATATACCAAAGTTTTTCTTGGATTGTCATTGCCTCAGGGAACAAGAATGTGCCACATAGCAAATTGTCTATGTGAACATTCACACATTTATAAAATGTTGCTATATACTTATGATAGCAGAACTTTAATATCATGTATTAAGAAATCAATATTCTAGTGTTGAATTCTGCCTCTAACTTGCCATAAGATTCTCATCACTTACATTGAGGTGGGCACACTACTGCCTCTAAGCCAAATCTAGCCTACTGTCTCGTTTTTTATAAACAAAAGTTTTATTAAAGTTTAATCATGCCTGTTGGTTTACATATTGTCTGAGGCTGCTTTTTGATACAAAGACAAAGTTGAATAGTTGCAAAAGAAGTTGTATAGCCTGAAAAGCCTAAAATTTGTACTGTCTATCCCTTTTTGGAAATGCTTTGGTGATCCCGCATACAGATTGTTGTTTCACTTGACTAATTCTTTTATTTTTCCTCTATTCAAGGATCTCAAAGATAGATTTCACATTCAGCCAGGAGACGCTTATCTACTTATAAATGGCCTTCAGGTTAATACAGACACTTACGATCCTTTTAGGTAAGTATATTAAATTATGGATATAAACTAATCATGAGAAAGGAGTGCACAGTGGCAGAATGGAGACATCCAGCACTCACCCACTCCTCCACCTACAAAGCCATAGCAACTGATACAGAGCTGCATCCTGAGGTGGTGGCCATGGGAGAACACTGGCTTTCAGGAGGAGAAAGGTAGAAACCTGGTGAATGAAATCCAGAGACCTGGGACAACAGCATAGAACAAGAAACAGAACACTACCTGCAGCTCAGTTCCATGGTGAGTGCAGGAGAAGTCTCCCCTCTGCAGAGTAAAGGTAAAGGAGATTCTTAGCAAAAGAATGTTTAACACAAAGACCAGCCCCTTGTAGACATACAGTCTAGGTAAGAGGCCTGGCGTCTGCACAGCAACTTGGCTTTTGAGGAAATAATCACTGCACTCCCAATGAACTTCTCCTAAGCACTATAGCCAGGAGCCATCTTGAAGAAAGGATCTGTTGTCAGAAATCCTTGCACATTCCCATCTCTGGAACCTTGCAGTCATTGTACTGCACTGTCTCAACAAATAGCAGCCTTACAAGAGGCACTGGATTCAGTGCCTGACGCAAGCCTGCCAAGCTTGCTGTACTGCAGAATGAGGTGGGTCGTGAGCTGCAACTCACAGGGGAGGAGAGGATACTGTGCTTTAGAACCAGGAGATCAGGAAGTCTGATCTCTGAGCCCAGGATGGGAGTGGGAATGTTTACGGTCCAGTCGTGTGATTTCACATGAGTGCCAGAACTAAGGACCTGGATCTAAGTAGTAGACCATGTTGTTCCTACTGCCCCACTCCTTGCACAGAATTGTACAGGTTTTGTTTGTTTGTTTGTTTGTTTTGTTTTTAATTTTATTTTGAAAGTAATAAAATACAACTGAGCAAGACAGAATAAAGCCAACTAAGATCGTACAGTGAAATTAGTACAGAACTTCACAGCAGGATACCAGGATAACAGTAATAGGTATCAGTAATAGGAATAAGTATATTTCGTTATCTTTACAATAGTTGTTCTTTCAATTATGTACATTAAAATGAAATACAGAACATTATAGAACTTATCAAAACAGAATATTGAATAGAGCAGTACTATTAATCAGAATAGAGCAAAACAGTAATAAAAATATTTGCCTTCAAAAAGATGGTAGAAGGAAATCCCCTTTATTTGCTATGGTCAACCTCCCAGGAGATGCTCAGCTATCTGGTTCCCATTTGCTAACGAGGGGACAGGAGAAGGAGGGTAGGGGAAGTGGAATGTTTGACTCTAGGGCATGCACCAGTAGGTTACTATTACTTAGCAGGGAGGCAGGCTGGTTGCTTGGTTTCCAGCTTTGTAAGTTCCAACATGGTGCAGATCTCAGGAGACACTGGTGGTTCTCCCCCTGGAAGGGCCACAGTCTGCCACACCACAGCCGCTTACCAGGGAGGCAAGCTGCTTGCTTGGTTTCCCAGGATCCTAAGTTCCAACATGGCGTGGATCTCAGGAGCCACTGGTGGTCCCCCCCCCCCAAAGGGCCACAATCTGCTCACCGCAGCCATTTACCAGGGAGGTGAGCTGCTTGCTTGGTTTCCCAGCATCCTAAGTTCCAACATGGTATGGATCTCAGGAGCTGCTGGTGGTTCTCCCCCTGGAAGGGCTGCAGTCTGCCAGACCACAGCCAGTTACCAGGGAGGGGAGGTGCTTGTTTGGTTTCCCAGGGTCCTAAGTTCCACTGTAGCGCAGATCTCAGAATTGTACAGTTTTGCTACTCTTCACATTCACAGAAGAATCTTGGAATGGTCCCAAGTGAGCCAGTACAGCACCAACTTTTGTCTACCCCCAAGATAATCTGGTCTAAAAAGTTTGAGAAACAGCTTAGTACTGACTGCATTCCACTATGGCTCATTCTGTTGAGCATCTCAGCTAAGAGAGGTTTCAACTAGCATAGATTGCCACCCACTCCCACTCCATACCTAGTAGGTAGTACAACTGAAATAATTGGAGGGAGAAAAACTCTTGGCTAGTACCCTGGACCGGAAGCACACCTTGAGATCTAGAAAGAAATGTTCTTAGCATAGCCCACAGGCTGTGCTTGCTGATTCTCTGAGCATCTCAGCTGAGAATATTTTTCCTTGCTTTTTTTTTTTTTTTTTTTTTTTTTTTATCGGTACCAGGGATCGAACTCACGACTGCCTGCTTGCAAGGCAGGAGCTTATGCCGCTGAGCTAAATCCCCAGCCCCTTGTTTTTGTTTTTGTTTTGGTGTGTTTGTGTCTGTGTCTGTGTCTGTGTGTGGACGTGTGTGTGGCTTTAATGCTGGGGATTGAACTTGGAGTCATATGTATGTTGAGTGGTTGCTGTGCCTCTGAGCTACACCTGAGCTACACATTGCTGAATGGAAATTTGTCCAGGTTCAACCACAGGTAGCTCTCACTTCAATACTGGTGGGCACTGCAACTGAAGAATCAGTAGAAGGAAAGCCTCCAGCCAATAAATCATCCCAGTTAGTCCAGGTGGAGGAGGAAGGAATCTGAATTCCAGCCCCTTCTTCATTCTGTTAGCTGCCCCCTTCATTGAGGCCTCTCTGCTACTGTTCCTGAAATCCTAGTACTTTTCTCTCTCTCTAGAATGTCCTGAAGAATTCTCTGTAGAGTCAGATTGGTGGTCGCTAATTCCCCTACTTGTTTGTCTTGGAAGCATCTTGTTTCTCCATTAATTTCTAGAGACAGTTTTTCAGGGTATATCAATCTGGGCTGGAGGTTATTTTTCAGGGCTTGAAAAACTTCACTCCAAGCTCTTCTTGATTTGACGGTCTGTGTCAAGAAGTCTGCCATGATTTTGATGGGTTTTCCTTTATAGGTAATCTGTTTCTTTTCTCTGACAGCTTTTAATATTCTGTTCCTATATTGAATTTCTGGGATCTTGAATATTATATTCCTGGGTATAGCTCTGTTTTGGTTGTAGATGGCTGGAGTTCTGTATGCCTCATACATCTGAGTATCATTTCCTTTTCCTATGCTTGGGAAGTTTTCCTTAATTATTTCTGTGACTAGCCTTTGTAGTTGATTTGTTTGTACCCCTGCTTCTTCATTCACATTCTTTACTCTTAAGTTATAGATCCTCTTGTCATCTTCGAGCCTTTGTATTGTTACTGCCTGTTTTCTTATTTTTAAGAAATTTTTTCCTTTCATCATCCCACATTGTAAACCTGTCTTCCAGGTTGGATAATCTATCCTTGGTTTCTTTCAAGCAGTTTTGCCAGCTTTCAATGGAGTTTTTTATTTCCTGGTAATCTCTTTGAACCTGCTTCATGTATTCTATGTTTTCTTTATATTCTTCATCAAATATTTGTCTCCTTTTTTTGTGCTCCATTCTTCCATCTGTGTCTTCTTGAGAGGTTCTTAGCATTTCTTTTATTAATCTACTTAAATCTTGCTCTACTTGGTTAAATTTTTTGAACTTGTCTATGAGGTCCCAAAGATATCTCTTTATGTCCACTGGCACTGTGTCTGATATTGCATGTTTGCTGTCCTCAATCTCTTTTGTATTCCCCTTTCCTGGATCAATGTTCTCAGGATTGGTGGCTGGAGACTTTTCTTGTTGCTTCCTTTTCTCATATTTTTTGTTTCTTCCATACAGGCATATAGAGGAGGTCCCAGTCCCTTTCTAAGTGCGCTGGCTAGGTGATCCTGCCCATTCCAGTGTGCTATTGAAGTGCAAACAGGGGCAGGGTATGCTGGCCCCTCCCCTCTGGGTCAGTCAACCTGCTGAGGCCTTCACTGCATTAGTGTGCGCCACACCTAGGGAATTGGTTTGGGACAACTTACTGGGTCTCAGCCAGGGGCGTGACCCAGGCCAAGCATTCCCCACCAATCTCGTCTGGGAAGGGAACAACTGACTGAAGTCACTACTGTTCCTTGTTCTTGCCAGTCCTGCCTGATTCCAAAATGTTGTCCTGTTGGTGCCCCTTTCCCGTGTTGGTGCCCATATTCCCGACACTCACCACAAGTCAATAAAGGTCCCTTGCCAGCTCCATTTTCTGTAAGGCTCACCAACCTCCAACTTCAGTGCGATTGTGGTTCCAGTGAGTCAAAGCAGTGTGAATTCAGGCGGCTGGATGAGTTGAGGCCGCACAAGTTCAGGCAATGCAGTGGAAGCACCGAATCTTAGCTATTCCAATGGTAGCCCCGGGACTGCATATTTGCCTGATTCCTTTTACTTTAGTTTCTTTCTGGGTTGAGAGGATTCATCTCCCTCTGTCCAGGACTCCCCGCACTGTGTTCTGGTTTGTTTTTTGTTGTTGTTGTTTTTTTGTTGTTTTTTTTTTTTTTTTTTTGAAGGTAGTAACAACAGAACAAGACAGAACAAAGCCAGTTGAGACAGTGCAGTGAAACTGATATAGAACGTCACAGCAGGTTACCAGGATAATGGTAATAGGTAACATAGTATATCTTGTTATCTTCACAATAGTAATTCTTTCAATCAGGTATAGCAAAATCAAATGAAACACAGAATATTATAGAACTTATCAAAACAATATTGAATAGAGCAATGCAGTTAATCACAACAAAGCAAAATGATGATAACAATATTTGCCTTCAAGAGATGGTAGAAGGAAAGCCCCCTATTTGCTATATTGTATATGTTCAACCTCCCAAGAGATGCTCAGATCTCTGGTTCCATTTGCTAATGGGTGGAGTGGTGTTTGATTCTCAGCCCACATGCAGGTAAGCTCATGGCTGCTTAGCAGGAAGGAGAGCTGGTTGCTTGGTTTCCCAGTGCCCAAAGTTCCAAGACGGCGTGATTCTTGAGAGACGCTGGGTGGTTCTTGCCCTGGGCGGCCACAGCTTGCCCGAGCCACAGCTGCTTACCAGGGAGGTGACTGGTTGCTAGGACCAAGAATCTTTTAATGTTTAAGAGAAGTACCAAGCCACATTTAAAGGCAGGCAGACCAACACCAGATTTCTCTGCAGAAATATTAAAAAGTTATAGAACAATATTTTTGAATTCCAAAAGAAAATGGTAATGTTTATAAGTCAGATTCATTCATCTCACAAAGTGCTTCACACACTTTTGACACAAATATACATATTGTATAAACCGTAAAAAGCAAACACAAAAATAACAAATTTTTTAGTTACCTTAAAATGGTAGTACTGTAGAGTACAACTGTCCATTGTTTTTACTTTCACAGTTACCTTAAATGGTGGTACAGTACAACTGTAAATCTTTTACTTTTATAGTTACAGTACTGTATATTATTGCACCATACAGTAAATGTACAGCAGTACAACCATGACAGTGTGTAGCAGACACATGAGCTGCTTCTGCAATTTGTTTGCATCAAGTGTTGGTAATGCAAGATCTGTTCATATTCATGTAAGTTCACAACCGGAAACCTGTAAATTGGGAACTTAGTTTACCACCATCTATTATTCTACCCAGTGAGTCTGTTCTTCCAAGTAGGAGAAATGAACATCTTCCAATAAAAGCATAAACTAAGCAAATTAGTCACCATTAGGTCAGCCCTACAAAAGACTCTTAAGGGAAGCCTACATCTAGAAGTGAAAAATAATTACCATGATGAGAGCATGTGAAAGGAGAAATCTCAATGGGAGAGTGGATATGCAAATGAGAATTGGGAAAGAATCAAACAGTGTCAGTACTCTAAACCATAGAGCCACAAAGATTGAGAGGAATAAATGAGCAAAGAATGTTCAAAACCAGAAGAAAAACAATAAAATGACAGGAATAAGTCAAACCTTTCCATAATAAAAATAAATTATCTTAATTCTTCAATTAGAAGATATAGACTGGTTAAATGGATTTAAACGTGAGCCAATAATATTCTGCTCACAAGAAACTCATCCATAGCTATATCCACAGACTCAAAGTGAAAAGATGGAAAATATCCCAAATACATGGAAGCCAAAGCATGCAGAAGCAGCTATACTTTTATCTGACAAAGACAAATGAGTAAAAAGAAATAAAGTCACTATATAGTGTTCAAGAGATCATTCCATGAAGAAGAAATTATTATAAATTAATGTGCCCTGACTGCTGGGGTATCTTGTTTTAAAACACTTCTTAGATCCTAAAAGAAAAGGTAGACTGTAGTATAAACCCTGTTCTCACCAATTGATAGGGCATCCAGACAAAAACAAACATTAGTGTTATATACAGATCAGATGGAGTTAACGGACATTTAAGGAGTATTTCAACACTCCACAGTACAACAAAAATAATGAGCAAATTTATAGCAGTGGCTTCTTATATATGAAAAAGTAGATCTCAGATAATCTAATGATGCATTTTAAGGTCTTATAAAAACAAAAACAGACTACACCCTAAATCAGTAGAAGGAAAGACTACAGATGAGAGTAGAAACTATAATAGAGACTAAAAGAACAGTACAGGGGATCAATAAAACAAAGTTGGTGCTTAAAAAGATAAAATTGGCAAACATTTAGCTATACCAACTGGGGCAGGGAACAGTACAGAACAGAACAGATTGAGATCACCCAGACTTTGGTCAGTGAGGTTATTTTCTGTTGATGTGTTTGTTATGGTTTATGTCAGATGCTCCCCCCGCCCAAGTCTTATGCAATCATGGATGTGGCTGAATCTACAGTTCATAATTGGTTCGCTGTCTGGCACTGTGATTGTTGGTATGAGTGCTACACCCACTCAGAGATAGCATGCCATGTATGGGCAAGAAGAAGACGTGTCTTTTTTTTTGCTGTTCTTGCTTGCTGTTTGCGGCTGCCATGAGCCATTGCCCCTCAGCCATGTCATTTTACCTTGGAGCCAACTGAGTATGGACTGAAACCTCCAACCTGCAAAAATAAACCTTCCCTAACTTTGTGCATCAGGTATTTTGTCTCAACAATGAGAGAGAAAAGCAACTAAGACAATGTTTAAACAATAATACTTTTTAAAATATTGTTAAGAAGGTCCTACACTACGTATCAAAATACATAGCCCATATCTCAAGAGGAAAAACTCAAAAATAAAGGTATTTTTGAATTACTATACATGTTGGAGATCTCTTATCCAAAGTGCTTGGATCCAGAAATATTTCAAGTTTCCAATTTTGGGGGTGAGGGAATATTTTCATATACACAGTGAGATATCTTATGGCTAAGGCCCAAGTCTAAACTTGAAGTTCATTTACATTTCATGTACACCTTAGGCATGTAGCCTGAAAGTAATTTTATACTGTGTTTTCAGCATACCTAAGTTTTTACTGCAGCCCATCATATAAGGTTAGGTGTGAAATTTTCCATTTGTGATATCATGTCAGCACTCACAATATTTTATTTTGAAACATTTCAGATTTTGGACTTTTTAATAAGTAATGCTCAACCTACATAATAAGAAATGTTATGTTAAATTGCATTCTAAACAAGTAATGAAGTTTCATGCTTTATTGGGGCTTCCTGTCCACTCAAGTTTTATGTTTTGTGTCTGTTTAATCTTATTTTTGTAGGTGTCTTTTCAAGAGTTATTTAAAATATTTTTACCCTCTCAGTTTTGGCTTACTTAAGATTAATCATATCATCACTGCTTTGTTAAAGAATACATTATTCATTCTATTTTAAGTAATAGTTTATTACCCTAAAAAGCATGTAAGTTTATCCCAGATAATTAATCGGAATGATTTGTCTCACTAGTTTAATAATACTTTCCTGATATTAATAAAAATATCAGTGGGACTTTTACCACTTACAGAAGTCTACCAAATTTCCTAAGACTTTTAATTTGCCAAGTCAAAATAAATTTTATTTCTTTTTTCAACATGAAGTATTTTAGATATGCTAAAATTAGAAGGGAAAATTATGAATGGCCTTCGCAACCTTGGGATTCACCAGGAAGATATCAGCAAATTTTTGAAATTAAACTCATATGATGAGAAATACATATTAGATATTCGACATTCTTCTATTGTGGTAAGTTTTCATTATTTCTTGTTCTAAAACCTTTAGCATGTTTAAGTCTTGGCATAAAACCAAATAGTAACAGGCTTTAGAGTAAATTTAAGCATTTTCAAAGTACTCAGTGAAAAAAACTACAGATTCATTTCTCCTCCTACTTAAAGCTTCTTGGAATAACATCAGCTCATTCTCACTCAGTAAGGATTCTAGCTTCAAAGTTAAAAACTAAACCAGAACAAAAACACTAAATATTGGTCTCTGAGCAATGTACATTAAGAATACCACCTTCATGTGAATAAAATCTTGCCTAGATAATTTATATCAGTCTTCTAACATTCTGGTCTGTGGTACAACCTGAGTGACTTCTTTTGAAATTTGATCACATCTCCCTTTCTTGCGTAAGCATTAAAGTGATCTTTAGTATGATCTGTGGCCTGTAAACTGCCTATTCTTACTTTTTGTTTCTTAAGACTGATACTCTTTGCACCCTTTTTCATTTTGGAAAACCCCTTTTCTTTTCTCTTACCTGTTACTTTCTACTTTTTTCGGAGTCCAGCGTGAACAGTCCTATCTTGAACAGGTGTTCTTTAATATGACTTCTTACATGATTTTTTTACAAACGACACTCATGTTCAGTGAAAGGTCTTACAAGGCCCAGAAGTTTTTACACTCATGGTTTATTAGAGCAAAAGGAATATTCAGGAACAAATCAACAAGAGTAAAGTCTAGAGGAAACCAGGACAAGCTTTCCAGAATTCTCTCCTAGTAAAATTCCATACAACATGCTTAATTCATTGCATAGCAATATTTTTTTCCCAGGATGCTTGAGTTGCCAAAGTGGGTATGTCATGCAAGCATACCTGCCCTGCACCTTTCCTAAGCCACTGAAGTTTAGACTGTCAGAGCAAAAGCAAATTCTCATTACCCCACTTGTAATGTCTATACAACCTGCTGACACTTATGCAGCATGGCTCAAAGCCTCAAGCATATTAAGCACTCTTAGCATTCAGAACATTCTAAGAACTCAATTTCCAGAATCCAGCGAAGAGAATAGAAAGCAGGCCCATCTTGGGAGCTTGAAAAGTGTATAAACCCCAGGCCTGCTGAGTTAACCTTTTCATACATACATGCACATTTGTCCATGTATTATGTTTTATTCATAAACATACTGATACATATATATAATAATGTATTATCTGATATACCTATCATAGTCACAATTTTAAATTTATCCTGTGATTTTTAGTTTTGACACAGATTTATAGGATACAGTGTAATAATTGGATACAGGTATACAGTGTATATGACCAAATCATATAATTAATATTCCACTCTTAAATCATTTCTTTGGGAGACCTCTCATCTAGATCTTTATAAAACATATAATAAATTGTTGTCAACTATAATTCCCCTAATATGCTATAGAACACTTGAATTTATTTCTCGTAAGTGTATTTTGGTGCCTTTTGTCCAGCCTTTGTTATTCATTCATTCACCCTTTCTAGCCTCTTGTGTCCACTGTCTACTCTGTAATTTTACAGAACTAACTTTTTTAGATTCCACATATGAGTGATAACATGCAGTATTTGTCTTTCTGTGCTTGACTTTTCCCTTAATGTGGATGTCCCCTGGTTCTCATCCATATACTTGCAAGGTTATGACCCATACAACTAATGGAATCACTGCCAGTTCTTCATGCAGTTTTGTGAGGCCACTCTTGAGTTACTGTTGCTGCTTTTGTATATTTTAAGATCAAAGAAATGGGCAATTCAATCTCTTTCGGCCTAGTTAGTGACTTTTTCAGTATTGTCTCACTAATTCTCCAAAGTAATTAGAGATATCACTCTGTGTACTCTTACTTTGTTGGCTTGTTTATTATTTCTTTTTCTGTTTACTCTAGTAGTTGTAGTTGCTCTTGACTTGTCATCCAATTTGATAACCTTTTTTTTTTTCTGTTACTTCAGTAAATCCACCCTATAAGGTCTTACACATCTTAATTACAAACATTTTCTGCTTTCTGCTTTTAATTGTCTGCTTTGGAGGAATGATGCTGGATATTGAACCAAGGGATTTGTGTATACTACACACTCTACATACTTGAGCCACAGCCCTACCAATATTTTTAAATTGTAAACTATTTGGTGTTTCTTTTAATAAATTTTAATTCTGTTAAAATTTTCTATCTATTTGTGTTCTTTTTAAAAAAATTAAAAACATTAATCAAGCCAGACATGGTGGTGCACATCTGTAGTTCTAGGTATTTGGGAGGCAAAAGCATAAATCATTTGAGCCCAGGAGTGTGAAATAAGCCAGGCAGCATAAGGAGACTTTACCTCAAAAACACAAAACAGTATACAAAGAAACAGATATGTATCAGGTGTGTACTCGATATAACTATATATATTACTAATAGTTATTCTAATGTCCCTGTTTAAGTCATCGTTGAGATGTCTCTCATCTTTGAGTGTCTCTCTCTTTCTTCATCATTGTCTCTATCTCCATCTCTGTCTATTTTTTTTCCCCTTGGATTTTCATGTTGGTCCTTTTCTTTCATTTTAGCATACTAGTTTTTTTATAAGTTGGGAATTGAAAAAAAGCTGTAAAAGGGTGCTAAGAGTTGTTCTAGCAGCCTGAATATCAGGTGCTCTCTTCTTTCTGTTAAAGCTCATTATACTTTATATATGGACCTGTATTTTGTATCGTACTCCTAGGACCTTGCCCCAGTTGAGTGTCAAATGAAAATCTACACTGTTTAGCACTTGAACTACATTTTGAACTCAGCCTCTGCCTTCTCAGGACCACGTTATGGCTGCTGCTTCAACATCTCATTTTCCTTTTTCTTCTGGCTTTTCTGAAGCCATTTGTTGTGTCTAAGGTCAGCAAACGACATCAGAGGAATTTGTATAGAGATGTTTCTGGTATCTTTGCTATACTTTCCTCCTTTTCTGGATCTTCCCTAGATTTATATAATACTTACCAGAATTTTAGAGGTAAAAGAAATAGTAAGGCTTCTAGAGTTAGACAATCTTTGACTTTTACATAAAAAAAATTAAAGTTTTATGAGAGAATTTGATTTTTGGAATTCAAACATTTTTTCCCACTGTGTTAACCTATATTTTTTAAAGTACCTGAGAAAAAATTGAGAGGAGAGTGAAACTTTATATTTAATCAGAAATATGGGGAACTTGTATGTTTTTACTTATTATTTGATATAATGAAAATCTGGCTCTGAAAATTACCATTTTAGTAGACTTTCAAGATCTCTGGATTCTTTTCTAGTGGATTAATGACCTAGAAAATGATCAAATGTATGCTGCGTGGCCTGCAAGTTGTAAGGAGCTTCTGAAGCAAATATTCTCGGAGACTATATCTGTGATAAAACGTAATTTTCATAATTTGGTGAGTGATATATTTTGAGTATTTTCATCTTTTATAAAGAAAACCTTATTTTTGAATTACCCTCCTTTTGGTAAGTGGGCCTCTAAGTTATAAAGAAGTATTTGTCTGTTACAACAGCTAGTAATATGGCTGTGAATGGCGACTCACACCTGTTATCCTAGTATTTGTAAGCTGAAGCAGGAAGGTGGTGAGTTGGAAGCTATCTTGGGTTCAGGGCCAACCTAGACTACATTGTGAGACCCTACCTGGAAAAAAATTTGTGTGTATATATATATATATGTGCACGACTTAAAAATCTGCCACTCATTTTTCAGTCCTCATGTGATTTTATAATATCAATATTTTCATATTTTCTTAAAAGAATGTATGATAGAATTTTTGCTTTATGTTATAAAGAACTAATGGTTAAATTTTAGTTTACCTCTGATCCGGCCTGCGGATCAGTCTGTGGGCCTCGCCTGGAGAGGGGATGGAGATGGGGGGCTGGGCAAGAGGAGAGAGAGACGGAGACAAGATGAAAGGTTCCAGTCAAGTCTTGTTTATTCTGAAAATGGCAACAACTTATATAGGGTGGAGGTGGGCCAACGGGGCAGGAAGAGGGCACGGAGTGCTATCTGATAGGTCATTGTCACATCTGGATATGTGATGTAAGCAGGAGAGGATTATGGGTAATGTAGGCAGATGTGAGGATCATGAGAAATGTAGGCGGACATGGCAGAGGCCCACAGGAGGGCGAGATAAGGTGGCAGCACTGAGATATGCCACTCCCTACATCTCCTCCCTTTTTATTTCCCATAATATCAAGAGTATGGCAGACCTTGTGAGGATGGCGCCTGTCTTGGGTCATGGACTCTATTTGTGACCCCAACCAGGCCTTTCCCATCATGGGCCTGCAGGACAGCAGTTGGTCCTGTGCCTGTCTTAGGCGGCTTGGTGGTGTGACACAAATGTCCAAGTTGCCCGTCTCTGGCTGCCCGTCCAGTGCCTCAAGGCATTAGGGCCACATCATTATGTGGACCATTGGTGGATGTTCTTTCCCGATAAGCTTGTTGTTCTGCCATCTCCAATTGATGGTAATGTACCTGAAGGGGCTTTGCCATAAACGCGTCAATCCTGTTATTAAGGAGTGTCATGATCCTCTGGAAAATACAAGGGCCTATGGTAAGGAGTAGCAATAAAGCAGCTAGGGGTCCCAAGACGGGGGCAATGTAAGGGAAGAGACCCCCCCACATGGAAGGGAAGGTAGTTTCTCTGAGACGCTCCTTTTCTCTCTCTCTGAGGCGTTCTCTTAGGTTAGTCATGGACTATCTGACGACTCCTGAGTGGTTGGCATAAAAACAGCATTCTTCTTTGAGGGCAGCACATAAGCCACCCACCTTCATAAATAGGAGGTCTAGTCCTCTTCTATTTTGTAGGACTACCTTAGATAAAGACGTCAGGGATGCCTGTAAAGCCATTACAGATGTTTCTATTTCTTTTAAATCTTGACCTACTATAATTGAGCTAGATGTTGATTTCCCAACACTATAGCTATAGTCCCTGTCCCTATCCCCGTTGCGACTCCTAACCCCATGGCAGGTTCTCTTTTATACATATAGCCAATCTGTGATGCCTGGAGGAAGAAGTCTCCTGGGTGGAATGTTATGCGAGGAAGAACCTGTACAAGAACACAAAAATCTGTAGACTTGTTAAAAACAGTAGTTGCTATACAAGGTGAGAGGCCAGAATTGCAGGCCCAAGACATTCCTGGGGGAGGGATGAGGTAACTGTTTGGTTGGAAGTCTGAATGAAGCTGGGCACAAAGTCATGCTGCCATTGCTGGTGGGTGGCTGGAGTCCCCAAGACAGGTCCCTCTACTGGAGACGTCAGGGAGAGTCAGCTTGTGGTGATTGCCCCAGTCACAGACAGATGAGCTAGAAGAACTGTTAAAGGTTAAATTGAGGGCCTTTCCTTCATAATATGGGGGAGGAGCAGCCAAGCATAGCCAACAGGATTGGGTGAGATCAGGTTGGGTGTGATTTAAGGCCACATAGGCCCCCAGAATTAGGTTGTACAAGTTAAAGTGTGGAGCAAGGGTGGAACTTAAAGGTGCTGGAATGGCTGAGAAAGTGTCGGGAGAGCTTAAAGAGGGGCGGGCAGTCGTCAATGGGAGTGAAGTTACCACCTGACCAAGAGACCTATGGTCGTTGGGTGGGACCACACCGGATTTGGGCCCACTGCGACAGGGGTGTGTTGTAATGGGTTTTTTAGAATTCGGGTAAGGTTTCTGTGATTGTGGCCCTGTTCGTAGAACCGAATGCCCCAAGTATGCCCTGAAATCCAACCTTGTTCTTGGGGGGTGGTGACATTGAGGGTCACATTTCCGCAGTTAGCCATTTGGCAGGAGCCCCACCCCCATACTTTACATCCTCTTGGCTCATTGCCGAGCATGACATGAGTGTCAGAGATTGGGGGAGACCAGCCGGATGTTACCACCGTTTCACAACCCCAGTAGGCACAAAAATAATGGCCCGGGGAGTGACAATAAGATCTTTCTGATGTTGGTGAGGGGCACGTGTACAAAGGCTGTTTATGGCAAAATTGTCCTGAAGACATTGGGATGACATGACAGGGATCAAATCGAAGGCTAGGGCTTCCAGATCCCTGCCAGGTAGTAACAGGGCACCAGTCTCCTTGGAGCCCATCCCATTTTTGGAGGGTCCATACCCAAGGTTGATGGGGATTATCAGTCATTGTGCACAGGTGTAATCATGTTAGAAATCCGACGATTGTCCATGAGATCTTTAGGGTCAGCATTTTCCTGTAAAAAGAGCACAGAGAAAAAGCTTCAGGGGGCCACATCATCCCTGGGCGCATGGGAGGCCCGTATTAGTTTGTCTGTTTGTTGTGTATCAACTTGTCTTGTAAGCTGTTCAGGGAGCCATCTAGCTCCCTTTTCTTGGTGGGAGTAGACACAAAAAGAACCTCGTCCCCAGATAAGGACTGGATCAGGGCCATTCCATGTGTTGGTTAGGGGATCTCTCCATAATACAGATGCAAATTGTGTTGTTGTCCGCATGTGCCAAAAACGAGATGCCGCTGAGCAGCTTGAGGCATCCAGGGATAGAAAAATCAAAATAAAGTGAGTATGTGAAAGAATATTTCTAGGAGACCCTCGGGTTGGGTACCAGGTTTCCCCTTTTATTTTATCTATGGTAGACTTGAGGGAACGATGTGCGCGTTCAACAATACCTTGTCCTTGAGGATTGTAAGGTTATACCTGTGGTGTGTAGAATACCAAGTCACTTGCAAAATCGGGTGAAGGAGGTACTAGTATAGCCTGGGCCATTGTCGGTTTTGAGCTGGTGGGGGCATCCCAGAACTGAGAGGGCCGGTAGCATATGGGCTATAATATGTTTGGTAGCCTCTCCAGTCTGGAGTGTGGCAAAGATGAAACCACTATAGGTATCAATAACCACATGTATATATTTTAAGTTGCCAAATTCATTAAAATGAGTGACATCCATCTCCCACAAGGCATTGGGGATTAAGCCTCTTGGATTGACTCCTAGGTGTTGAACAGGCAAGTGAACAGCACAAGAGGGGCAATTTTTTACAATTTGTATGGCTTGTTCTCGGGTAATTTTGTGGAGGAGGCGGAGAGTCTGGGCATTGAGGTGGTGTAGCTCATGAGCCTGTTGAAACTCAGATATCTTGGAGTCATCTATAGGCTCAGAGTGGGTCATGAAGACCTGTGTCCGTGTGGCAATATCAGCCAAATGATTTCCCTGAGTGAGAGGGCCTGGGAGAATGGGCTCGCAAATGGCGAATAAAAAACTTATGGCGGTGGAGCCGTGTGATCTCTTAAAGTCTCCCATTTGGGTAAGTAAGTCTCTGCCCCATAAATTAAGAGGAAGTCCTGTAACAACATAAGGCTTTATATGTCCCTGGTTGCCTTCTTGATCTTTCCATATGAGAAGGTTGGCACTACGCTGGGGGTTTTTTGATTGTCCAATTCCTTGTAGATGGGTCATGGAAGTCTTTAAGGGCCAAGTGAGGGGCCAGTCCTCCCTTTTAATAATAGCCACATCAGCACCTGTATCTATGAGGCCTGAAAAACTTTTTCCATCTAATTGTAAGGTCATAAGGGGCTTATCTTTAGATATGGATTGGCCCCAATATACATCTGAGGAGATGAGTCTACCCTTTAGAAAGCCATGGCAGTGTTGGGAGTCTGAACCAATGGCAACAGCAGCAATTGGGCAATATGTTGTCCCTGTTTAATAGGGATGACACCAGAAACTGAAAAAGCCATGATTTTAATTTCTCCTGTATAGTCACTAAGAACCTGGGGACAATTTGTAACCCTTTAAATATGGTAGTGCCACGTCCAAGTATCAACCCGAATGTATTGGGAGGAGGGGGACCGAAAATCCCTGTAAGGATTACTTGAGCACCCGTATCGGGGGTGAATACTGTGTTGGAGGTGGAACAGAGATCCAAACCTGCGCTTTCTGGTGTTGCGCGGAGAGGACTGAGATGGATTGTTTTGTGCTGGGTTGTTTTGCTGTGGGACAAACCTTATAGCCTCGGGAACTTGTCCTGGGTAGGGGGTCTGGGGCTGACCCCGATTCCCATTTCCCTGCTGGGGGAGGGGGTTGCCATCTGGGTCTGTTTTTGATCTGCCTTCATTAGCCCAATGATATCCCTTTCTGCATCTCGGGCATAAGTTGGTGGGTTTTGGTTTTGGGTTATTGTGTTGGGACTTTTGGGCCATAGGGCAGTCTCTGACAAAATGGCCTGTCTGATCACATTTAAAATATTTGCCATTATTTATTTTCCCTCCTTGCTTGTGTGTGAGGAGGATCTCCTTTTCAGCTGCAGTTGTACTTGCAGCTGTGACCTGAGCTTGATGGTAGGCAGGGCCTATGTCAGCGCACAAGTGAATAACCTGAGAGAGCCTCCTTTCTTTTTTTTTCTAATTTTAATTTTATTTAAGGACAAAAAAGAAAAAAAAACAG